ATAATTTAACAAGACCCTGTCTCAAAACAAAAAAAAATTTTTTAAAAGGGCTGGAGATGTAGCTCAGTGGTGGAGTACTCCTGAGCTCAAATTAACAACACCAAAAAGAAAGTTAAAAAAAAAAAAAAAACAATGAAAAAGAGAAAGGATTAACATTGAGAGTTATTTAGTGACAGAACAGCAGCTATCTGGGAATATTCCTGACAAAATAGAAGGTCTCAGGAAGCAAGTAATTACAGTTCATGTTAAAAATCTTAAGACAAAACAGGAAGTGACTGGTTGAATTTCCCCAATCTAAAAAGATAAAAATATGTTAATAAACATAATGGAGGAAGAGAAAGGAAAAAAAATCCAGAGAGATTACATTTCTTCAGTAAATTCAATCTGCTTTTCTAATCATAGCTCAAAAAGTAATAGCTGGTTAAATTAGCTTAAATAACATAATTACTGGTTCAAAGTTTAATCCTAGCACTGTTGGTTAAAAAAGGAAAATAAGTGTCAAGATCCCAAATAAGTGTTAAGGACCCTGAATTTAGAGAGTTGGTTATATTTAACTGAAACATTGACGTGTCACTATTATTTGCAATCTTCAAGTTTTCTACCAGGTAAAATCATGCTATTAAAACTATGTTGAAAAATATTCAGTGACATTGAAGAATGTCTTTGAGTTATTGTTAACATAAGAAGAAAACATACATGTATACACACACACACACACACATATATATATAAATAAAATACCATCCTAAAGTGGAGAGGAGGAAAGAAAGCCAAAAGGAGCCTGGAAACTCTAGAATTGAGTCATTTCCTCATATAACCTGACAGATTATTTCCTACACATACACATACACACACATACACATACACACACACACACACACACACAGACATACAAACTCTTTCTCTCTCTCCCCCTACTTTCATTTATAAACTCTTAAATCCAAAATCAAGGATTTTAAAAGTCACATAAGAAAAAAAGGTTAATGAACTGATAGCATGGATAAGAAAAACACAAAGATTAAAATACTCTATTAAAACATTATTCTTGCTGGACATAGTAAGTATACACCTATAATCCTACGTATTTGGGAGGCTAAGGTAGGAGAATGGTAAGTAAAAGGACAAACTAGGCAAGTTAGCAAAACACTGTTTCAAAATGAAAAATTGAAAAAGGAAAAAAAATGGTTGGGGAAATAGCTTAATAGCAGAGTGCTGCTGGGTTCAATCCCCAGCGTTCTTCAATGTCACTGAATATTTTTCAACATAGTTTTAATAGCATGATTTTACCTGGTAGAAAACGGAAGATTGCAAATAATAGTGACACGTCAATGTTTCAATCAAATATAATCAGCACTCTAAATTCAGAGTCCTTAGGGATTATTTTGGGATCTTATCACTTTCTTTTTTAACCAACAGTGCTAGGATTTTATTGATCAATAAAATCAATCAATATATAGTCTTATGTGACTGGCTTCTTTCAGTCAGCATAATATCTAAGGTTATCCAATTGGTTGAATCTATTAGCAGCTTATTCTTCTTTTACCATATGGATGTACCATATGGTACATTGTGTGTGTCTACTCATTACTTGATGAATATCTGAACTGTTTTCAGGTTTTTGCTATCATGAATAATCTGTAATCATCCACATAAAATTCTTTGTGTAGACACATATATTCATCTCTATTAGGTAGATATTAAGAAATCAGTAATACAGATTTATGTGTAAAGAAATTGCCAACCTTTTCCAAAGAGGCTACATATATAATTTTACATTCATACCAGCATGCATGAGATTCCCAGTTTCCTTATATTTCATCAACACTTAGGACAATCCTTTTTAAATTTTATCCAATTTAGGGAGTATATTAGTGGTATTTCACTGTTTTAATATCTAATGATGGTGTGAATTTTTTCAAGTGCTTATTTGCCATCCATCTATCCTCTTTAATGAAGTCTATTCAAACAAATCTTTTTGTTTGTTTGTGGTATTTTTTTTGGTAATGGTGAATGAACGCAGGGTCATGGGTATGCTAAGCACATGTTCCACCACTGAGCTATATATCCATAACTCTTTTCTGCTTTTTGAAAAAACTGGGTTGTTTTTCTTATTACTGAGTTGTATTCTCTGTATATTCTGGATTCAAATCCTATTTGCATACTTATTTGTTTTGCAAATATTTTTTCCAAGTCTACAACTGTCTTTCTATTATCCAAATACTGTATTCTGAAGTGAAAGTTTTTACCTGGTAGAAAACTGAAGATTGCAAATAATAGTGACACATCAATGTTTTAATCAAATATAATCAGCTCTCTTAATTCAGGATCCTTAGCATTTATTTTGGGATCTTCACACTTATTTTCCTTTTTTTAACCAACAGTGCTAGGATTTTAATTTTTATAAAGTCATTTTATCAATCTTTGTTAAAGGACCACACTCTGGCATTATATCTAAGAAATCCTTACTTAATCCAGGGTCATGTATTTATTCCTATTTTTTTCTTCTAAGAGTTTTATACATTTAGCTATTATAATTAGGACACTGTTCTTATATTTTATTTCAGAAGTTTCACATTTTCTTTTTTTAGTTGTTGATGAACCTTTTTTAAAATTAATTAATATGTGGTGCTGAGAATTGAACCCAGTGACTCACACATGCTAGGTGAGCACTCTACCACTTAGCCACAACTCCAGCCCCAAAATTTTGTTTTATGTTTATGTTTAAATCTTAGTGCATAGTATTATGTAAGGATCTGTATATCATTTTTCTTTCCTTTAACATGTATATCCAATTGTTCCAGCACCATTGTTATAAAGATTATTCTTTTCCCCACTGCACTGATTTGTATCTTCTGTAGAAAATCAATTCAAGTATCTATGGGGGACTGGTTCCAGAATTCCCCATGGATACTAATATCCATGGATGGTCAAGTCCCATACATAAAATGGTATACTTTGCATATGAATTCTATGTAAATAGTTATTATACTGTACTATTTAGGAAATAAGAAAAAGGTCTATCTATATTCATTACAGATAAAATTTTCTCTCCCAGAAATTTTATAGTCACAATTAGTTGAATTCCAAATAGGGCATCCAAAGATATAGATGGCCAACTAACTGTATATCTAAGTTTGTTTCACAGCTTTATTCAATTCCATGGCTTTACTGATCTACTTGACCATGACTAAAGCTTTACAATAAGTATTGAAATTAGGAATTGTAAGTCCCTTTCTTTTCAAAATTGCTTTATCTCTTCTATGTCCTTTAAATTTCTGTATAAATTTTGAAATTAGCTTCTCAATTTTGATAAGAAACTTACTGGTATTTTAATACGAATTACATTCAATCCATAGATTATCAAATTAGGTCTTTCAATTGGTAAGTGCTATATCTTTGAACTGAGGGTGATCTGTAATTTCTCTGTTTCATTTTTTATGGTTTTGGTATGCAGAAATATTCATTTATTTTAAAACATCAGTGATTTTTTTTTAACTTAAGCTTTAAATCTAAAATCAACTTTTAAAGCAAGCCTTACAAGTTATTTTAAAAACTTCCTGACATAATTTTATCATGCCTCACATTCAACACTAGGGCAAACAATGAACAATGAACAGGAAAGATCTGTTATCTTGTAAAGTATAAGGGTTATAAACCATTCAAAAAATCAAATAGGAAAAAAGTTAATTCCTATCTCAAAGCAGCTTATTGGTCATCACTAAAATCCTGTTTTTGGTAGTAAAAACTAAATAATCTGGGTTTTCTTGCCTAATTCCTATCAAACCCAAGAAAATTCTACAAATTAGTGTCATATCCATAAACAAAATATATTTATATAAATAAAAGTACTGGAAACACAATGATATAAATCGCCTCCAAGTCTTTCCTGTCTCAATTTTTATTGCATGATCAAAATATTTGGAAAAGGCTTATACATTTACCAATGTAAGCTTGTCAAATAAAATGGGGTTAACGATCTATCAAATGAAGCAGTATGGAGATTCCTTGGAAATCTGGGAATGGAACCACCATTTGACCCAGATATCCCTTGCCTAGGACTATACCCAAAGAACTTAAAAATAGCATACTAAAGGGACACAGCCACATCAATGTTTATAGCAGGACAATTCACATTAGTTAAACTGTGGAGCCAACCTAGATGCCCTTCGGTGGATGAATAGATTAAAAAATGAGGCATATATACACAATGGAATTTTACTCAGCATTAAAGAGAATAAAATCATGGCATTTGCAGGTAAATAGATGGCATTGGAGAAGATAATGCTAAGTGAAGTTAGCCAATCCCAAAAAACCAAATGCCAAATGTGTTCTCTGATATAAGGAGGGTGACTCATAGTGGGGTGGGGAGGGGAGCATGGGAGGATTAGATAAATTCTATATAGGGAAGAGGGATGGGAGGGAAAGGGAGGGGGCAGAGGATTAGCAAGGGCAGTGGAATGTGATGGTACAAAATACATGTATGAAGACTCCAAATGGGTGTCAACATACTTTATATATAAACAGAGACATGAAAAATTGTGGTATATATGTGTAATAAGAATTGTAATGCAAAAAAAAGCAAAGTATATGTATAAAGGCATGAATTGGCGTGAACATACTCTATATACAAAGATGAAAAATTGCACTCTATGTGTGTAATAAGAATTATAATGCATTCGGCTATTGTATATTTTAAAAAAAGTCAATAAAACTAAAAAAAAAAAAACCTATCAAATGTTCATGTGATAAAAAGAAAATTTTTTTGAGTGGGCCTAACTCATACTAAGCATATACTTGCTGCTGAGCTACACCTCCAACCCTATGAACAATTATTTTTAAAAACACTTGGGGCTGGGTGAGGTGGCACATGCTTGCAATTACAGCTACTCTGGAAAACAAGGCAGGAGGATCACAAGTTAGAGGACAGCCTAGCCAACTTAGTAAGCCCCCGTCTCAAAACTAAAAAGAACTTGGGATGTACTCAGTGGTACAGTACTTACTTAGTATGCTCAAGATTCTGGGTTTGGTGTCTAGTACTGACAAGAAAAAAAAAAAAAGTATAAATGTTAACAAAGGGTTTTACTTGTTTGTTTATTTTATTTATTTTGGTGGCAGGAATTTAACTCAGGGGCACTTAACCACGGAGCCACATCCCTGGCCCCATTTTCTTTTGCCTTTTTTTTTTTTTTTTTAATTTTGAGACAGGGTCTCACTAGGTTGCTTATTGTCTCGCTTAATGGTTGAGGCTGGCTTTGAACCTGTGATTCTCCTGCCTCAGCCTCCTGAGCCACTAGGATTATAGACAAGTGCCACTGTGCCTAGCTAACAAAGGCAATTTGATGAGAAACTCTATTTTAAAATAAAAATATTTTGTATTCTTAAAAGAAGACATGTATAATAAAATTTCATGATTATACTATTTATAATAAAAAATCTACATGCCCATTGGCAAGAGTAGATGGTATAAATTGTAGTACATTCACAATACTGAATATTGTACTCTAGTAAAAATGAACCATAGCAATATGCAGTAGTATACTGAATATTTTAAACATAATGTTGAAGGAAAAAAGCAAGTCCAGAAGACAATAAGCAGTATGATTCCATGTAAAACTAATATATATTATTTGAATGGTATCAATAATTATGTTAAAATTTTGAAAAAACAAAACTAAATAAGCATTTTATAAAAATCATCAATTATCTACTCCAACACCTGAAGACTAAATAATATGCTACTGAATGAACAAGGGGTTGCAAAAGACATCAAGGAGGAGATTAAAAAATTCTTAGAGGTGAATGAGAACACTGATACAACATATTGAAATCTCTGGGACACTATGAAGGCAGTGCTAAGAGGAAAGTTTATTGCATAGAGTTCATTCCTTAAAAAAGAAAAGTCATCAAATAAATGACCTAACATTACATTTCAAAGCCCTAGAAAAAGAAGAACAAATCAACACCAAAAGCAATAGAAGACAGGAAATAACTAAAATCAGAGCTGAAATCAATGAAATTCAAACAAAAGAAACCATTGAAAAAACTGACAAAACAAAAAGTTGGTTCTTTGAAAAGGTAAATAAAATTGCTTAGCCATGCTAACAAAGAGAAGGAAAAAACTCAAATTACTAACATACATGATGAAAAAGGAAATATCACAACAGACACTACAGAAATACAGAAGATAATTAGAAATTATTTTGAAAACTTGTATTCCAATAAAATAGAGAATACTGAAGGTATTGACAAATTTCTAGAGTCATATGATTTGCCCAAATTGAATCAGGATGATATACACAATTTAAACAGATCAATTTCAAGCAATGAAATAGAAGACGTCATCAGAAGCCTACCAACCAAGAAGAGCCCAGGACCAGATGGATACACAGCTGAGTTCTACAAGACATATAAAGAAGAACTAATAACTATACTCTTCAAATTATTTTGTGAAATAGAAAAAGTTGAAGCACTTCCAAACTCATTCTATGAGGCCAATATCACCCTGATTCCAAAAATCAGGCAAAGACACAATCAAAGAAAGAAAACTTCAGACCAATATCTCTAATGAACATAGATGCAAAAATTCTCAATAAAATTCTGGCAAATCGAATTCAAAAACATATCAAAAAGATCATGCACCATGATCAAGTGGGGTTCATCCTAGGGATGCAATGTTGGTTGAACATAGGGAAATAAATAAATGTAATTCATCACATCAACAGACTTAAAGATAAGAATCATATGATCATCTCAATAGATGCAGAAAAAGCATTTAACAAAATATAGCACCCCTTCATGTTCAAAACACTAGAAAAACTAGGGATAACAAGAACATATCTCAACATTGTAAAAGCTATCTATGCTAAGCCCCAGCCAACATCATTCTAAAGGGAAAAAAATTGAAAGCATTCCCTCTAAAAACTGGAACAAGACAGGGATGCCCTATTTCACCACTTCTATTTAACATAGCTCTTAAAACACTGGCCAGAGCAATTAGACAGAAGAAAGAAATTCATTAGAAAAAGAAGAACTCAAATTAGCACTATTTGCTGACAAATATGATTCTATACCTAGAAGACCCCAAAAATTCCACAAGAAAACTTCTAGAACTAGTAAATTAATTCAGCAAATTAGCGGGATACAATATCAATACCCATAAATCAAAGGCATTTCTGTATATCAGTGACAAATCCTCTGAAAGGGAAATGAGGAAGACTACCCCATTTACAATAGACTCAAAAAAAAAAAAAAAACTTGGAAATCAACCTAATGAAACAGGTGAAAGACCTCTACAATGAAAACTACAGAACGCTAAAGAAAGAAATTAAAGAAAACCTTAGAAGATGGAAAGATCTCCCTTGTTCTTGGATAGGCAGAATTAATATTGTCAAAATGACCATAGTACCAAAAAGCACTATACAGATTTAATGGAATTCCAATCAAAATCCCAATGACATTCCTCATAAAAATAGAAAAAGCAGTCATGAGATTCATCTGGAAAAATAAGAGACCCAGAAAAGCTAAAGCAATCCTTAGCAAGAAGAGTATAACAGGTGGCATCACTACACCAGACCTTAAACTATACTACAGAGCAATAGTAATTAACAAAAACAGCATGGTATTGGCACCAAAACAGACTGGTAGCCAATGGTACAGAATAAAGGACACAGAGACTAACCCACATAATTTCAGTTATCTTAGACAAAGGCACCAAAAATATACATTGAAGAAAAGATAGCCTCTTCAACAAATGGTGCTAGAATGAAATTAAATCCCTCTCTCTCACCATGCACAAAACTCAATTCAAAGTGGGTCAAGGATCTAGGAATTAAACCAGAGACACTGCATCTATTAGAAGAAAAAGTAGGCCCAAACTCCAACATGTCAGATTAGGCCCCAACTTTCTTACTAAGACTCCTATAGCAAAAGAATTAAAATCAAGAATAATAAATGGGATGGATTCAAACTGAAAACCTTCGCAACAAAAGAAACAATCTTTTGTGGGGCAAATAGAGAGCCTACAGAATGGGAGAAAATGTTTACTACTCGCTCATCAGATAGAGCACTAATCTCTAGGGTATATAAAGAGCTCAAAAAGCTAAACCAAAAAAACAAATAACCCAATCAATAAATGGGCCAAAGAACTGAACAAACAGTTCTCAGAAGAGGATAAACAATCAATCAACAAATATATGAAAAAATGTTCAACATCTCTAACTATTAGAGAAATGCAAATCAAAACTACTCTAAGATTTCATCTCACTCCAGTCAGAATGGTGGCTATTAAGAACACAAACAAGTGTTGACGAGGAACTGGGGAAAAAGGCACACTTGTACATTGCTGGTGGACTGCAAATTGGTGCACTCAATATGGAAAGCAGTATGGAGATTCCTTGGAAAATTGGGAATGGAACTACCATTTGACCCAGCTATCCCTCTCCTCGGTCTATACCCAAAGGACTTAAAAACAGTATACTGCAGTCACATCAGTGTTTATAGAAGGACAATTCACAATAGCTAAACTGTGAAACCAACGTAGATGCCCTTCAGCAGATGAATGGATAAAGAAAATGTGGTATATATACACAATGGAATATTAATCAGCAATAAAAGAGAAAAAAATCATGGCATTTGCAGGTAAATGAATGCCAAATGTTTTCTCTGATATAATGAGGCTGATTCATAATGGGGTTGAGAGGGGGAGCATGGGAGGATTAGATGAACTCTAGATAAGGCAAAGGGGAGGGAGAAGAAGGAGGGTATGTGGGCGGGAAAGATGGTGAAATGAAATGGACATCATTACCCCAAGTATATGTATGAAGACACGAAGGGTGTGAATATACTTTGTATACAACCAGAGATATGAAAAATTGTGCTCTATATGTGTAATATGAATTATAATGCATTCTGCTGTCACATATAACAAATCAGAATTTTAAAAAGACAAAAAAAATCATCAATTATAAAATATTTTCCAGAAGTTTAATAGCAATCTCAGAATTTACTTCAAAATTTTATAGCTTTTACCTTTGCTTCTCTTCAACTGCTTTGTCCAGGTGCTGAAAGATATCCTGAAAGAGGGTGCAGCTGGATCGACTATTAATGGTATATCCATATCCTCTTTTCCAATATTGTTTCAGATCATTTAGATATTCTAATACCTAAAAATAAAAATTTCAAATATTATTTCTAATACATTTTCATAAATGTTAGAGATTTTCTAATTTAATAACATTTCCCCAGAAACAGTTATATTATCATTCTGTACAAAATACAGTAGAATCTTAGCATTTAGATTTTAATATCATGCATTAAAGAGTTAGCGCTGAAGGTATATGACACACAATAACTTCTGCTGCATCACAAATTTGAATCAAGGCTTGTGGGCCAAACAAGTTAGTAAATCTTCAAATCTAATAATCCATCATCCATGGCAGGTTAGGAGAGTGGATTAAGAACATGCAGTTAGCTCCTCTTTCTTCTAAAATTACATTAAGATGATAGCAAAGACAGATACAGAGAAAAAAAAAGTACCTGGAAGAGTTTTCATTACATAGCATAGAAAGACATTAACAGAAGATTAAGAAATTAACTTTCGGTGTATGTAGGGTATGTGTATTGAACTCAGTGTCTCACACATGCTAGGCAAACATTCTACTGCTGTGGTATACCTCCAGCCCTTTTTAGTTTTTGAGACAGGGTCTTGCTAAGTTGCTCAGGCTAGCCTCGAACTGAACTTGCAGTCTCCTGCCTTAGCCTCTGGAGTCATTGGGAACTACAGGTATGTGCCACTATGCATGGCTGGATCAGAATTTTAAGCATTTAAAGATGATAAGCTTCTATAAAAACTAAGTACAAGTCATAATAAGTTTAAGCTCAGGGGTAGGCCAGTGCCATATACCAAAACCAAAATATAATAAAGAGACAATTAATTCTAGAAGTTAGCAAAAGGGACAAAGTAAACAAAGTTAAAAAAAAAGATTTAAAATAAGCCAGGTCCAATGGTACACACTCATAACCCCAGCTACTCAGGAAGCAAGTTTGAAGCCAACCTGGGCAACTTAGCAAGACGGTTGCATTAAAATACAAACTATGATGGGCTGGGGATGTAGCTCAGAATGATATTTAATAAAAGAGATTTAAAATCTCATTTGTACATTATTAAAACTTTATATAAAAACTAAAAATATAAATAGAAGATAATTTTTCTGACAAAGTATGTTACCCAAACTGAATCAGAAAAATATAAATATACAACATAACTACAGAGTCAAAGGTCCAAACAGAAAATGAGTTTTTCAAATTTTAAGAGATAAATTTGCCAAACTTTGCAAATAATCCTGCAAATCTGAATGACATGGACTTTTCCTTGCTTCCTTTCTTTGTTTCCTTCTAGTATTGAGGATTGTACCTACAGCATTTTACCAATGAGCTACATCCCCAGCCCTTTTTTTATTTGGAAACAGGGTCTTACTAACTTTTCCAGACTGGCCTCTGATTTGCAACCCTTCTGCCTTGACCTCCCAGGTCCCCGTGGTTACAGGCATGGACTACCCTGCACCACCATGCCCAGCCATGGATATCTGATAGAAAAATATTAGATACCAAAATTGACGTAGAAATGATATACAATCTAGATACACTCATTACCTTAGAAGGTATGTACAAAGTTGCAAAATAGGCTATCCCCCAGAAAAACATGTGTCATTTCTTTTGTAAAGATTTGCCTGACGACCATTTAATCAACTTCCTTTTGTGCACCACTATATCTTATATATACTTATATTATAAATGGCTTTATTTCACTCCTTCTGCCATTCTTTGAAGATAATGCTATCTTAATGTTAGTCATCTTCAGTTCCAAGCAAGTACCTGGCATAGAACAGGAATTCGAGAAATGTTGGCTAAAAGAAAGCACATATGGTCCAGCATTTCACAAGGCCTAGATAATTTGTATAATTCTCAGAATTTCAAAAGTACCTATTTATTTTTAATTTTAAAATATATTAATGGAGAATCTCAAACATATAAAAGTATAGAATAGTAGTACAACAAGTAGTACCCAAGTGTACCCATCATCCAACTTCAACAATAATCGATATTTGACCAATCCTATTTCAGCTATGTTCCTGCCTCCACCACTGAATTCAAACAAATTTCAAACACCATTTTATTTCATCTGTAAATACTTTAGTATGTAAACCTATTATTACACAGTGCAAGTGCTAAGCAGGGATAAATTATTTTATATTAAATTACTAATAAAAGAAAAAATCATAGGAAATTCCTAAATCAAAAGATAACTTCATATTTTTAAATAAAAAATTAAATTTATTCTTACATATAAAAATTCCAGTAATTTAATATACATGTATTTTGAGTTTTCAAGTCATGATTCTTTAAATAAGCCTTTTATTTACAGAGGGAAAAAGATACTTCCACAATGGAAAAATCTGGCAGGCAATACTTTAATCAAATGATCAAACATATCATTATCAAAGATGTAACAGACCGACATTCCTTCTGATGTGATGCACTGAAAGGATATATCACTTATGTGGAATTCTTGTCAAAAATGTTTAATCTGAATCTGACCTTAAAAAATCAGTCAGAAAATGAAGAGCAAAAGAGGGAAATGAGGTAAGCAGACAGGAATTGTAAGTGAATTACTGCCACCACCAGGTGGAACACAGAACTCAATTTCCCATGAAAATTTCTATGTAAGAACAGTTAGGTCTTTGGAAAATCACTTGTTCTGAAGTTTGGCTTTCTATAAAAATAATAATTTGGATTATATACCCTTCCAGTAGTAAAATTTGATGAAGGGTTGAAAAGGTTTTAAACTGAGGAGCCCTAGAAATCAAATCATGAAAAAAAATGTTTTCCCAAGTTTTATGAACTTTTTACAAGTAAGTGAAACCTATTTGAACGTTAATTTCTATTTATAAGGAAAATAGTCACAAGACAATTTATGCTCCCTAACTTTGCTTATTTTCAGAAAAGCTGCTTTAAGTAACAAACAAACAAAAAAAATAGCCCCATTAAACCATGAAGTAACTGCAAAAGTAATACTCACCTTTGCATCATCTATGTCAAAAACATCACACCAAGGAGATTTGACACCTCTAATTGCCAGGTCAAATGAACAGGTGAAAAAAGCTACCTGAATTAAATCTGGGGGGAAAACAGGTAAAATTTTATGAGTTATTAGTTTCTGCAATTTTTCAAAAGCTGAATATTGCTAGAATGCCATTTGCAGCAAAGTTGAAAAAACTGGATATGTTTGGTTTGGAGAAGAGCCTAGTTTTTTTTTTTCCCCTGGTTATCAAAGAATTAATACTTGCTCTGTGCAAGGGAAGGACTACAACTATCAGGAATAAATCACAAGGATGTGTACATTTCAGTCCAATAAAACCAAGAAACTTTCTGTAACTTTTTTCAGTTTTTAAAACTATTTATTAAGAGCATGTTTGCCTGGCAAATCCAACAAAAAGGTTAACCCAAAGACCTACTACATTAAACAGACTTTTATTTTGCTAATATTAGACGGCTGGTAAAGGGAAAATAAAATTATAAAGATTTTAGTCCCCAACTTGAAAATTAGGAATAACAAAGTGTATTTATTGAACAATATTTTTAGGGGGTTCTGGGGACGAGGGATTGAACTCAGGGGCACTAGGCTAATAACATATCTCTAGCCCTATTTTGTATTTTCTTTAGAGATAAGGTCTCACTGAGTTGCTTAGCACCTTGCTTTTGCTGAGGCTGGCTTTGAATTTGCAATCCTCCTGCCTCAGCCTCCCCAGTCACTGGGATTACAGGCTTGCACCGCCACATCCAGCTTAATGAACGATTTTTTAAGCTACAGAATAGTGCCAGGCATTATAGGCACATGCCTATAATTCCAGCAACTCCACAGGCTGAGGCAGGAGGTTGGCCAAGTTCAAGGGCAGCCTTAGCAATTAGCAAAATCCTAACTCAAAATTTTAAAAATAAAAAGGGATGGAGCTATAGTTCAGAGGTAGAACACCCCTAGGTTCAATTCTCAGTACTGGGGAGTGTGGGAACTATTCAATAATTCATAACTATTAAGAAAAGGCATATAAAGAAAGAAAGGTATAAAAGGAGAGAGAGGACTACAGAAAACAGGGAAAAAAGAGCAAAGTGAAGGGGCAGGAGAAAGGTGAAAGAGTCCACAGAAGAACAAGGGAAAATTACACACTAAAAAGGGAGTGAAAAGTTGGTATTACAGCATCAGTTTTTCAAATTTAGTTGCTCAAGCAATTTCATAATAAGCTATCTGGGATTTTTATATTGCTAAATCACTGATTACATCACTTTCATATGTGTACACACATGTGTGTATATGTATGTATGTATCAAAAAAAAGGACAAGGGAATGAGTGCTTGGCCTATAAAAAGGTAGCCTTTATCAGTAGGAATAAAAACATTGCTGCTCTCTAATCAAGAAGTAGCTGGCATCTAATCCTAGAGAGAGAAAAAAGAAGTCAACTATAGGGATTACCTTTATTATTTCAATTTTTCTTTAAAATATTGTCTTTCCTCTTTCCCAAAGGAAAAATGGGACCAAATTTAATTGTTACATGCTTTCTGCAATAGTTCTGAGTTTACACAATTCCTGAGGTAGTATATAGTTGTAAAAAATAAATTTCAGTGGGAATATACCTAAAAGCCATTCAAAACTTCTGCTCATATAAAGGGAAGGGTTTATGGGGCTGGGGTTATGGCTCAGCAGTAGAGCACTTGCCTCACATGTGCAAGGCCCTGGGTTTGATCCTCAGCACCATATATGTTATTAAAAAAAATAAAGGGAAGGGTTTATAATCCCAATACCTAATATAATAGAGTGACTTAACTACTATTCATGTTTGATGAAAGGAACTGGCTCATTTAGACTTGAAACTATGAAAGTCAGCCCATTTGTATACCCTTTAACCAGAGAGAAGTGACCAAAAACACCTGTTTTATTTTTTTGTTTGTGTGTTTGTTTTGTTCTGTTTTGTTTACCAAAAGTCTTTGAAGCACAGGGAAATGAAAACTAATGCTATCATATATCTAATTCTAACATGAATTATTCTGAGCAAAGTCATTCTAGGCTCTCTGGATCTCAACTTGCTCACCTACAAAACAATGAAGTTAAAACAAATGATCTTACTTGATGAGTTATAGCTAATTCATGTATTATGACCACTTCCAACTTCTTGGTCAATCTTTTGGAGCCTCAAAAATATTTCAGATGCATTAGAAATTTAAGTATTAAAAAATAAACAAATAAATAGAAGAAAATAGGAAAATAAACTAATCTTGAGTTTCAAGAATATTCTTAAGCAAAATATAATGATCAGATGCCATAATAAAGAGACAGATATGGTTTCACAAAAGATGTAAACTTAAGGTACCAAAAACGAGCCTAAAAGATAGGCAACAAATTAAGAGAAAATATTAGCAACAATAAGCCAACGACTAATTCTTTGCTAGACAGAATTAAAAGGTTTGGTCAATATATCTCCAATATAGAGAGGATATCTATGACCAATAAGAAAAATGTAAAAAATACTCAATAGCAAACAGACAATAGGGCTGGAGGTAAAGCTCAGTGGCAAAGTGTTTATCCAGCATGTGCCAAGCCCTGGGTTTGATCCTGAGTACCAAAATGAAGTGAGGGAAAGAAGGAGGATGAGAGAGGGAGGAGAAGAGAAGGGGGCAGAAAACAAGATTATGAAGAGGCAACTAAACATCTGGCTAATAAACATATAAAAAGGTTTTGGATTTCAGAAAAAATTAAATAAATGTAAATTAAAGCTAGACATTATTTTTCACTAATCAAAGAGCCTAAGTTAAAATGATTAATAGTATTAAGTGCTAGATGAGATAGTAGAGCATTCTTATATATTGATACAAATTTTTCTACACCTTCAGAGAACAATTTGGAAGTATATTGTGTCAAATATTCATACTTGTTAACCCAGCAACGTCACCTGTTATTACTTTTCTTATAAACTCTCCAGTGTGAAATATAATCCTTATAAACCATAAGAATGCTCTTTGTAATATCACTAGATAGTTAAAAACTAGAAAAGTTTTCAGTAGAAAAAATGGTTTCCTATATAAAAGAATTTGGACTATATATTAGCTCCAGATTCTTTTATAGCAGTAAAATTTGATGGGTTAAGTAACTTTTAACCAGCATTGACCCAGAAATCAAACCATATAGTCTATGAAATAACATAATTTATAAAGGAATGAGACAGAACTATATGTACAGACAGATGTATTATTAAGTAAAAATAAATTACAGATAATACATACAGTAGGACTATCTCTTTATGTTAAAAAAGTAGGTATTTGAATGGCAAAAATATTTATGGAGCAGTTACTATGCCAGGCACTGTGCTAAATGTCTTACATAAATTAATCTCAGATAATCCTTGCAATAATCCTTTGGGGCAAATATAATTCCTATATCCATTTTATACAGAAGGAAACTGTGGCATAGAGATATTAAGGAACTTGGCAAAAATCATAATTCACGGTTAGATTAAAATTCAAATACAAACGGTGCAATCCCAGGATCAACTATTTCAACTACTATGCTTATAGTGCCTCCAAAATAAGTTGCTCTTGCTGGGCACAGTAGTTACATGCCTATCATCCCAAGGACTCAGAAGCCTGAGGCAAGAAGATTACAAGTCAGCCTCAGCAAATTAGTGAGGCCCTAAGCAATTTAGTGAGACCTTGTCTCAAAATAAAAATAAAAAGGGCTGAGATGTGGCTCAGTGGTTAATAAACACTCCAAGTTCAATCCCTAGTATCAAAAAAAAAAAAAAAGTTCCTCTTGGTTATTCCATCAGGAAAACACAAATAATCCTTACCCATTCAGAGACTAAAAGTAGTTTTTAATGTACTTGGGGGGTGGGGGACACACACAGTGCTGTGAATTAAAGCCAAGGCCTTGCTCATGATAAGCGAGCACTCTACCACTGAGCTACATCCCTAGTCCTAAAAGTAGTTTTTAAAAACCTTCTACTACAGAATAATGGCTAGAGACTAGTATACTTATATCATGGGGAATTCTGTGTATAAGTTTAAAATGTAGGACTAGGCTAAAGTTATAGCTCAGTGGTAGAACATTTGCCTAGCATATTCAAGGCCCTGTGGTCAATCCTCAGCACTATAAATAAATAAATAAAAATAGAAAGGATTAAAATTACATTTAAAAAATACAAAGTTGCATAAAATCAAATTTCAGACTCAAATGCACTTTGATACCATTCTAAAAGTTTAAAAATCCACAAAACAATATCCCAGTTATGTACAGAAACATATATACTGGCACAGGAGGATGATTAAGTGATGAATTGATGACAATGTCTCTGGAGAGAAAAGAAAAAGAATGAGATCCAGGAGAGAAACCCAAGGTCCTTGGTGCTATTTAGAGCAACTAAGTGAAGCATAAAACTAAGTTTCGAGTATACAGTATTCATTATGTCAGCCTTTATTCTTACCTACATGTTTTAATTATTTCCCAATAAGAAAATTTTAAAGCTCCACAGGTGACCCCAATGTACAGCTGGTTTGCGGAAAGGAAAAAAAACTCAATTTCAAATAATAGTTTAGACATCATCATTTTTTTAATCCTTATAAAGCATCTGGTCTCCAAAACAGACTTAACTGAAAAATAGTTTCACCCCTCCACATTTCCTACTTCCGATCTCTTGGAAGTTGATTCACAATATAATAAAATTTATAATCTTTGTGTGTGTATGTCCATGAACATATATGTATAAAAATTTATTTTTATAAAAAAATTTATTTTTGTCAACATCTGCTTTACAGATTACAAATTTATAAAAAACTGGAAAAAAATTTTATTAATTTTCCATTGCTTAGGTCACCATGTGCCCTGTTTTCCACTGGTTTTCCCAGAATAATTAATAATAATAGTATTATCTTTTACTCTCAAAAAGTGTCCCAGTTTGGATGATAAACTGCAGTCAGCCCTTACATATCTTGTGACAGACATGATTACTTATCTTTTCAACATCTCTACATATAAAAGCCTCAAAAAACATACCACTTCGCTTTTCACTTTCAAAAACTCTCATACATGTACTTTTGAACTGTTTTAAAAACTAAAGAATTTATGAGTCTCTTTGAATAACTTTATGAAGCAAATTCAGAAAACAAAATTTTTTGTTTTTACAAGTAATGCTCAGAGTTTAGGTTTTCAAAAAATTTCAGAATACAAGCCAGGTATGGTGGCACATGACTTCCCAGTTACTTGGGAAGCTAAAGCTGGAGAACTGCCAAGTTTGAGGCCAGTTACAGCAACTTAGCAAGGCCCACAGCAACTTAGCAAGACCCTGTCTCAAAATATAAAATTTAAAAAGGGGCTGAGGACTTGGTTCAGTGATTAAATACCCTTGGGTTCAATCCCTAGTACAAAAAAAAAAAAATTCAGAATATAGAGAATTGTATACCTTAATTTACATAACATTGGAAGAATATGAATTTAAATAGTAAGCATGAGGTGTTTCTTAAATTGAATGTAAATTCAATTTGGGCCTTTAAAAGGAATAACACTAAATTTCCTAATTTTTTCATTTTCACAGTTCAAAATTATTTAAGCCACAGTTCAAATGAATGCAGCAGATATATTACCTGCATTTAAATTGTTTACCGGCACTTGCAAAACAGCTGCAACTTTTTTTAAAATGCTCTGCATTTCTGGTCCAGTTTTGAAGGCTTCTACATGATAAAGAGCTGTAGCATTCCTTTCCACTTCAGTTAAGAACTTCTTACAATGATCAAAGAACCTCATTAGTTTGTCATTTATGCTTGGAGGTCCACACTCCATATCTGAAAGAAAAAAAAAAGTTATATACATGTAAATTATTGACATAAATGATGGGTATCAGGGATTGAACCCAGGGGCATTTAACCTCTGAGCCACATCCCCAGCCCTTTTTATTTCAAGACAGGGTCTCACTAAGTTGCTTAGGGCCATGCTAAGTTGCTGAGGCCGGCTTTGAACTTGTGATCCTCCTGTCTCAGCCTCCCTGGCAATAAATGATACTTTTAAATTACTAAAAATTTTGCTTCAAGTGTGAAAAAGGAACATAATGACATTAATCTGCATATCTGAAATAATGTATCAGTCAAGAAAGACAAAGTATAAAATTTTATTACCCATTTATAATGATGGCAATTCTTAAAGAGAATATGCTAGAAATACTAAAATACAATCAACACCCAAAATAAAATGTGTTGAAGCAATACTACACAATGAAATAAAGGTAACCAAAATGAATGTTTTCTCATAGACAAAAAAATAATTAGGCAAGAAAATCATAAGAAGTGCAAAACTGTGTTATGAAAGTTTTGTTTCTGTCAGGCACAGAAAACTTCAGAAAGCAAACTAAAAACCAGCAGTCTCTAGGTACAAGGTGAGAGAGAATTTAACAGATTAGACCTGTTTCTCCACTCAACCAAAATCTAAATAGATTGTTTTATTTTCTTAATTAATTTTCCTAACCCTGTGTTACTTTACAAAAGATTCTACTTTAGACAAAAACTACTGACAGCACACACAAAGTTTCAAGTCTACTGGGCTTCACTGTGCTAAGTGCTTCTGATTTGGTTTATCTTTTAACTGAAGATCCTAGGTAACTCCGTTTAACAGTATGCTGTTCCCCCAACTTGGCAAACATGTACTGGAAAAGCATTCATAACCATGCTTCAACTATTGGGGTGTCTTTTAAGTTTTTCAACCATATTCAAAACATCTCAATTATCATTCCTCCAATAATTCACCATGAAAATAACACCACGTATTATTTCTGTACACAAAATCTAAGAAATTCAAATACAGTTATACCATTGTTTTAGATATGCAACGCAAAAATATACATATATGTGAAGGCATAGTCCCTGAAATAGATCATTTCTCCCACTTTAATTGTTAATTGGATTATAGTTCTTAAGAAAGTATCTTCAGGAGCCAGTATATGTCATCCTAGTAACTCAGAAGGCTGAGGGAAGAGGATCACAAGTACGACGCTGGCTTTGGCATCTTAGGGAGACCTTGTCTCAAAATAAAATAAAAAGAGCTAGAGATGGATGTTGCTCAGTGGAAGTAGAGTGTCCCTCAGTTCAGTCCCCACTACCAAAACCCAAAAAAGACCAACTTCACTAGGAAAATAAGAGAACTTTGTCATCTTTTCTGTGCCCTCAAAATATGATTTCTCTTGTGGGTCTGGATGGTTCATCCTTGTTATTATCTAATTACTGCTGCTCTTTAAACAGAAACAAATGCATTGTTCTATTTCTATAAAAACACAAAATCTAATTCAGTGGTCTCCCTCAAAAGCCCAGATTTACACAACAGGCAAAACAATTGTCTGTGTAGGATAATGAAGTGGCTAGGCAAAGGATTTAATCTCTGAGACTGAAAAATGGTGAGAGGGGGGTTTATCCTGAACTACTCTGATCCCTGGCTTTTCCCCCGAGGCAAATGACAATCTTCACAATGCAATCTGAGTGCCATCATTCATGCCCTGAGGTCCAGAATATGTTGTGCTACATTAAAATTCAGCTAATTTAGGCAACCTATAGGGAACTTTCACCCAAACTAATAGGAAAAACCTAGTTATAGTTTAAAAGCATGACTCAGTAAGTAACAAGTTAGTTTACTGAGTTACCCACAAAGCAATAACATGATACACAATTAGTGGAAAAATCCCTTGCAGACTGCTGAACTGCTATGGAAGAAATGATAAATCAGTTTTGTTTTGTTTTTTAAATTTGGGCTGTAAAGCTAAATGAAGTTCCTCACTTCAATTCATACCTTAAAACCTAGAAGTAGTTATTAACAATTGTTCATCTCTCTGTCATAAAAATGTTATGTTTTTATTCTCATCAGATATTATAGGACAAAAGGAAGCTGTATAGTGTAATGCTTAAAAAAGCAAGTTATGAGCCAGGTGCAGGTGTCCATGCCTGCAATCGCTGCTGCAACTGGGAAGGCAAAAGGATTTAAATTCAAAGTTAGCCTCAACAGCTTAGCAAGACCTTATCTCAAACTAAAAAAAAAAAAAAAAAAAAGAGCTGGGGATGTGGCTCAGCAGTTAAGTACCCTTGGGTTCAATGTGGGGGGGTACTATCAGCTTCAGAGAAGAGTTGTGAAGATTAAGTAAAACAAATGTGAGACATGTGTGGTATATATGAGGCATTGGGTGTTTGCTACAATATAATTGACTATAAAAACATTTTAATGGGAAAAGTATCATTCTGGAAAAACAGAAGACCTGGACTCCAGGCCTGACTAGTCCTCAAATTAGAGGACAACCTTGGGCTCAACTTCTTTGCCTGATAAATAAAAAAGATACTACTATTTCATCTCTCAAATTTTGAAAAAGTATGAAATCAATTGGTAGGTAAGGTATTGCTTTTGACAATGAACCGCAACTACAATAAGGGAACTCTATAACAGTAAATACAACAACCATACAGAAGGAAAAAGCAGGGCATAAATAAGGCTTGTTAACAGCTTCCTAAATCGGGTGTTAAGTCTAGACCAGACACCTGAAAAAGGTGATGAGTATAAACCCCAACTTGTATTACAAGCAATGCCTGAGGAAGAAGGTTCTAAATATCATTTTTAAAGAGTGTTTTCAACCATAAAACTAACTGCCAGGGAGGTAAGAAGGGACAGACAGGCTGGCACTCAAAAGTGGTTAATTCAATTTGGAAAAGGGAGACCAAAAATTTTGGGAAAGATCATCTCCTTTCCTGCTCTGGATCCCAGAGTCTACTACAGCTTTCGGTACGTAAAAGGTGCTAAAATTCATATCTGATGAATTAATAAATAAATGTACACATGAAAGGAGAGATAATCAAGTTCATAACATCCTGTACCCAGAGAAAGCACAGCCTGAAGGGTAGAAGTTAGGATACAGAGCAAAGTGAGGCGAGACTGGGGGTGGGGAAGTCCAGGGAAGATTCGGGAACGCGGCAGAGCATCTGCCCCGCGGCGCGCGGTCACCTGAGACGTCGGGCGGTGACAACCCAGGATGGTAGTGCTCCCACAGCCCCCGCAAGAAGGCGGCGCCGCTGTCCACGCAGCGGTGCTTGGAGCTGGTGATCAGTCGCAGGCGGCTGTAGTTCTCCCGGCTGAAGAGAGCTGGGAAGAGGGAGGCCAGTCGCAGCGCCAGCTGTCGCATGTCCTGCCGCCCTTTCTCCACCAACTGCCCATCCATCCAGTCCGCGTACCACAGCGGCCAGTCAGCCAGCGCGGCGCCCAGGCCGCGATCGCTGGCATTGCCCGGCCTATCATCCCCCGGCCCGCGGGCCTGCAGCATCCCGTGCAGCTGCCTCAGCTTGCGGATCTGCTTGGCCGTGGGGTAGCGGGTACCATGGCGGATGAGGGCCACCAGCTGCACCGGGGTGCAGCTCCCCTCCAGCAGCTCTGGGTCCCGCTGCGGCGCCTCGGGGTCCGACAGTAGTCCGGGGTTGACATCTTCGTAGCGAGTCTTGGTGCCGAAGTAGGGGCTGAGCGCCGAAGCCACCTGGTCCTTCGGCTCCTGGAGAGAGCAGCGAGCGAGCGACGAAAGCAGCGCCGCAGCCAGGGCCGCGGTGGGCGCTACGGAGGCCCTGAGGAGGCGGCAGGGACCACAAAGCATCGTGCCAAGCGGCCCGCGGAAGGCAAAACACCCGCAGCTGACCCCCCGATTTCCGGCTCCGGCGGGCGGGCGGGGGCGGGCCCGGAGGGCTCTTCCGGCCTGGGCGGCTCTGGTTGCGCTGCAGTTAACTCCGGCTGTGGCGATTGGTGCTGAGCGGTTCGCTCCCGGAGAGATGCCGACCTGTGGCGCAGGTGGAGCTGCCCTGGGAAGACTGGGGCACCTGTGGCTTATGTGGAGCCGGCGTGGGCTGACCCGGGGCGTGGGCGAGTTTCCTCTTAGCCTGAGGCTCCGAGACTGTCTTCAAAGGCTTCCCGGCTCTTTGGTTTTCAGTGATGCGAATGAAGCCCAAACCAAGCGTTAGTCTCCAATGCTGCCATCTTTCAATAGGTGACTCTGTCTCACCATCCTTACCCCATTCTACTGTGTTTTTCAACTCTAAAGCAGACGTATAAAATACACTTGATTATGCAAATATCTGGCCTTTGCTGCAGGTTGCTTCTTGGAGACCAAAGTTTTTCTCCCTTTAGAGTTCAAAAATAAGTCGGACAGAACAGAGGGCTTAGAAAGGGGCTTAGTTCTTAAGAAATTTCAGTCCTGAATCTTTTCTATTATTTTGACCTGAACTAGCAGAGCGAACACAGCACCCCAAAAATTCTGCACTTGTTGATCCCCAAAGCAGAGAAACAGCAATCATGATAATGTGGGTGCATTGAGTCATGGCCCATAAGATTTACCGCGTTATTAAGTGTGAGCTCATCTGCTGTGTGAAGCAAACATGATATTTACCACCACTCCACATCCATACTCACTTCCCATGTGGTTACATACTCAAATCAGCTGCTGATTTTAGTAGGTTATTGCTCTCAAGTTTTTACACAAAAATCATAAATTTAATCAATAACTTGGTTTCTCCACCTGAACCTCAGTATACATGTCAGTTGGGAAAAGAATGAGTATTAAGTCACATGGTGATACAAACTCAAAAAAAATTGTATCATGTTTCCATAATTGTAGTTTTCCCTTCAAAGATACTACTATATTGTTCTTGGTAAGCCAATTACCATCTACTTACTGGTTTCAGAAAGGTGTCTCTCTAAATGTTAACCTGGAAGAAAATGGATAAAATAAAGAATAGATTCCAATTTGAATGCTGAAATTTTTAAGGCATTCTTTGTAAGAAACCATGTTTAGGGAAACGAGTGTGCTTTTTGATATACTATTTTGTTCACTGTCAATGCCTGAATATTCATGGTCAGTAAAATTTTCACAGAACTTTGCTCAATTTAGTATTTAGTGAACATCCACCTCTTTCTTATAGATTGCCTAATGTTTACTCTATATAGGCAGTGGTACCTGATATTTCTAAGTTTATTCTACAAGCATTTGTGATAAGTACATTTCACTATGTTTTGTTTAATGTAGATGGTTAATAATGATCACCTTTCATGCCCAACCCCTTGAGCCCTTAGGATTTAATAGGTCTTCCCAAAGGCATCATTTACTTCTTCCTAATGAAGCAATGTTTAGAGACCCTGCTTTATGTTCCTATAAACCTGCAGTATAGAGAAACAAAACTAAGAAATAAAAAAAGACAAACAAACAAAATCCCTGTAACATACATCCTGATACATTAAACTTGCTCCTAGCTTGATTTTATTTCCTTTCTAATTTCTCATCTGTTTTTACTATTTTTCTTTTTCTTTTATTTTTCCGTGTTGAGGATTAAACCCAGGGCAAGGCAAGCACTCTACCAACTGAACTATATCCCCAGTCCTGTTTTTGATATTTTATATACTTATATAAACCAACTTCAATCTTCTTGATATCATGCTAAGATGATAAAATAAAATAAGCTATGCCTTTGTTTTTGACTAGTTAAAAGCCAGATTAAGAGTATAAGGAGGACAGGGGCCAGGGTTGTAGCTCAGCAGTAGAGCACTTGCCTAGCATGTGTGGGGTGCTGGGTTCGATCCTCAGCACCACATAAAAATTAAATAAAGGTATTGTGTCCAACTACAACTAAAAATGTTTTTTTTTTTTTAAAAAAAGAGTATAAGGAGGACAAAGAGTCCATAAGCTTTGAATCTAGACTCCAAACTCTGCCAGTCATTAACTGAGTGATATTGATTAACTAAATTCTCTGAGCCTTAGTTTTTTTTTAATCTGATAATTAGGAATATCAGAACATACATTGTGGGATTATCATGAGAACCAGATGATGTATTTAAAAACAATTTATAACAGATTCTATTTTTATCATTAATAATGTTTTTGTTTATTATTCCTGGACTCAAATGCTTAGTTCATCAGCAATTAAACATGTGGTATGAACTTACTTCCACTGAATGTTTAATAAATGACTTCACAGACAAGACAGGCCACAAAGATCATTTATCTTTTCTAGTAATAAAAATTCACTCATTTCACTTTATAAAAGATCTTTAGATCTTAGAGTAGTGAGCCTTTGAAAAGTTTTAATAAAATGAGAAGCACTAAACCAGATGTGGTGACACACACCTATAAACCCAGTTACTCAGGAAGCTGAAGCAGGAGGATTACAAATTCAAGGCCAGCCTCAGAAATTTAGCAAGATCCTTTCTCAAAAAAAAATAAATAAATAAATAAAAATGATGGGGATGTAGCTCAGTGGTAAAGTGCCCACAATTCAATCCCCAGTACCACCGCCAAAAAAAAAAAAGTGAGGGGCCCTGCTTATCTTTTCTTGCCAAGCTATGTCTTAACTCTCTGGTTAATCTGTAAATTCACTGCCTTTTGAGAGAGGGTCCCTTCTAGTCCAAGCAGGTAGAGTTTACATGGTACGAAATATGGCTGCACTTTACAGAGATCATGGGTGAATTACTCTCCCTTATTAAAGGTTGTGGGCACCATAACAATGTACCACAACACAAGAGACAGACTAGAAAATTAATAATTTAAGTTTCTAGAAAAACTGGGAGAAATTTGAGCCAAGAGCATAAATAGGGAATTTGGACCATTAGAAGAGGAGAACATATGTTCTTAAGAAATACTAAAAGGATGGGTGAACATGTGGAGAAATTTGTAGGTATGGCAGGAGGGAGTTCATGATGGCCTCAATTTCCTTAGTGACATTGCAGACAATATTGTATGAAGAGATGGATATGGGAGTTAAATCCTGGAATGTGGAAATGTCTTCATTTTGCAACTGAAAAATGAGAAAGTAATGGGAAAGGTCTTGTAACTAAGAAGAATGGAGAAAACAAATAAAAAGGTTGAATGGCCATTTTGGAGGATCCAACTGAGATTGGAAGGCTTGAATTGCTAGTTGTTCAGTTTTATCTGGAAGTGAACATTACTGTTTGTTTTCAGCGTGGAAAAAAAAGAGTTTAACTCAATATTTTACAGTATTTTACTATCTCTAAAGATATCTCTTACTATCTCTTTACTATCTCTCCAATGAACCATTATACTAAAGAATAGCTAAAGCCATCTGCTATAATTTTAACAAAATTACTAAAGAAAATGGCTTTCTGTTGAGGAAATAATAAGGGGATAAGACTTTGGAATCTTGTGGAGTATTGCTTAAGAACTAAGTCTCTGAAATTAGATTTTCTGGTTTTCAAATTCCAGTTTCATCATTTACCATTTGCAAGATCTTAAGTAAGTTAAACTCTTTTTGCCTCCCTTTTTTTAAAACCTATAAAGTGAGGATATAACACTCATGCCATGGGATTATTGAATAATCAAATGAGACAGCTTACATAGAAATTTTGGTTGTTTCCTGCCCCAAGTAAATATCAGTTACTTTTATGAAGCAGAATTTTAAAAATTTTCTTATTTCTCATTCCTCCCTTAAGTAAACTGACAAATGGTAGAGGTTTTCATAGATAGCTACTATCTCAGAACTACATTAGGCAACTAGCTTTGTATCTATGCCAAGAAAGTTGTAGCTCTACTGTCTTACTCTCTTCTATTGCATCATTACTCTTTCTGCATTTTCTAGTTTATGTAGTGCTTATTTGCCTTTTTGTTGCAGAAGCCAACAGAAGAGGATCCATATGTTTGGATGGGGCTCAAGTGATCATGTGTCAACAGCAATCCTTTCAACTTGCTTGAATGTGGAGGCTGCTTAGGTCACAAGATCTGAAGACTAAGACAGCTTTGCTCAAAAATAACCACACTATTGACAATAGTTAACTACTACAGTGTTTCCCAGAATATCAGCACTAAATTGAATTGCTTAAAGTTGCATTCAGTTGATATAGAGAACTTTACTGAACCACATATAGCTATGGAGGAGATCTGCTGTTTTATATTCTTCATTTATGTCCTGCCAAAGGAGTTATTTTGCATTGATAAAATTTCTCTTCGGATATCCTGACCCATCCTCAGGCATTGATGTTCCTTCCCATCAAAAGTTGATTCTAGCCAGGTGCTGTGGCATATGCCTGTAATTCCAGCAGCTCTGAGGTAGGAGGATTGTGAGTTCAAAGCCAGCCTCAGCAACTTAGTGAGGCACTTAGCAACTCAGTGAGACCCTGTCTCTAAATAAAATATTTTAAAAGGACTGGAAATGTGGCTTAGTGTTTAACTCCCCTGGGTTTAATCTCTGGGTAAAAAAAAAAAAAAAAAAGTTGATTCTAAATAGTCCAAAGAACTGTTTGAGAAACCAGATGTAAATTTATGGTAGGTTTAAGTTACTAATAGTCTTAATATGCTTTACTACTTGTATTTAATAAAAGGAAACAGTTAACTATAACATTTTCTAGTCATGTTATGAAATTATTTTCCTGCACAAATTAGCATTGTAGAATTTCCTGCAGAAGTTCCCTTGATCCAAAATATATTTTTATCCCATCACAAAGACAAATAATGAATTTCCAAACCCTAGTTTTCAAAAAATCCCTTTTAATGTATGTTTTTCAAAAAGAGTCATAGATGACTACAGTTGTTTTTAGCTTTTTTTTCTCTGAAATGTTAGTTTTCTAAAACTGAAAACATCTCTTTGAGCCATAAGATCTCTAGGA